GGGAAATTACCGGTTTGTGTGACATGTAGATCAGTATCAATTAAATAAACAGATTTTCTTTTAGTTTAGGGTAAGGGTCGTGACCTATGATTAGGGTTAGAGCAGGGCATAGATTATATGCAAAATTTAGCAAGGAATTTTTTTTGTTAGAACCCAAAAGGGGGTTTCATAAGCGAATTTTTGAGATATTCGCGATTTTTTAAAAAATTCTTTGTTTTTGTCATACAAAATTAATTTATATGTTACACCTGATCCTGCAATTTTATTGGCTAATTACACACCGGTAATTTTCCCCCTGGTTAAAATTAGCAATACTCTATATTTTATTTAATAATCTAAGAAAAATATAATTTATATAATATATTGATTCGGCAACGATTGTTGAAAATGAAGCGAAGCAATGCAATATATGTATTACATAACGTGCAAGCAAACGGGTACCCGCTCATGTTCAAGTAAGAATTTATATAGTTGTATATATAATTGGTTTAAGGTTTTTAATTACAAATATTATCGTTATACAATTTAAAGGCAGATATGATAAGTATGACAGTGGTTCCAGACGGTGAATTTAATTATATTATCTATATTCGCGATCATTTTACAAGATTCTCTGCAGTGTTGCAACAATTATTAACATTAATATGAACTTAGAATTACTGGCGGTTTATTGTCGCCATAGATAGAATTCAATTATTGTAACTTGAGTTTGTTTAATTTCACTGGTAGTTTGCTTAATTTCATTGTAAATTATTAATTATCAACCATAGTGCTGGAATAAATATTCAAATAAAAAATATTGTGCGTCATGCTGCTTATTTTTACAATTTTTTTTTTTTTTTGTACTGTATTTGTTTATTCGGTATTATAATCGTTGACGGCGTACCGATCATTATATAACATACGTCAAATTATGATTCTGAAGTGACTTATGCCAATTTGAGATTAACAGGAATTCCAAAGTGATGTATAACATTATCATAATTTCTGAAACATCTAATAAAAATTAGCGGAATAATTTTTCAGCAGATTCGGTTAAATTTGTAATTTTGACATAATAGATTTATCTCTAGTTGAATACAGAAATATGATATTTTCAAAGCATCTTCGTTGGCAAATAGTGAAAAAAATTTAGAAGGTTTATTAATTCGGAATTGGTAAACGCTTAGGTTTTAGCATACGTTCTTCTGTAAGTCGGGTCCTCAAGCACTTTCAAAGATATCGATATATTAAAACTTTCGTAACACATTTTTGACAAATCTTTAATTTAGTATTATTCGTGTAATATATTTATCAGTTATTATAAAAGCTATTTTATATTCGGTGCTTTTTTTATTTTTGTCAAGATTTATTGACTGACAAGGTCTTTCTATAACTTTTCGTACAAACTAAACGCACCAAACATGTTGGACAAAAGCATTCGACCAAAATTTATTAAGTTAACCTAATAATTGAATAAAAGCAGGCAGCCAAAAAGCCACTTTAATATCAAAAAAAAAGAAATACTGTATAAAAACTATAAAAGTCTATATTTTTGCTTTGGTAAAAATAGTATTCTTTAGATTAATAATTGAAATAAAAATATATAAAATAAAAACCATTTGAAATAAAATAAAACTTAACCAAATTACTAATATCATACTTTTGACAAATTGTTTTAATTTTTTTTTATAATTTGGCTATTTTGTCTTTGTTTATTGATGCTAGGTTATTTAAAAATTATAAAAATTTCTCTATATAACTATACTAATCTATAACAAAGATATGTTTAGCTAATATCTAGATATAACCTGTTTTAGTGAACTTTGAGTCTCCTTCTAGACCTCTAACTTACTAGAAGCTTGAATCCTTTAATTATTGGCTAGTACCATATACTATATTGAAATTGATTTTTTTTTTATAATAATAAAGTACAAATACAGTCAAACCTCTCTATAGTCACCTCCTATATAAGCACATATTCTTTATAAGCACATATTTTAAAAACCAACTATTATTAAATATAATAAATTTAACCTCTATAATTGGCACACTTCTCTATAATCACCCTTTTTTGTATCCCGAAGGTGTGACTATATAGAGGTTTGACTGTACAAATTCAAAAGACAAAAACAAAAAAAGAAAAAATACTTTGATATCAAATTCTAATCCACCTAAATAAATAAACAACGCTACTAATCTGCACCTATGGTGTTGAACACCATAATTGGCTATATCTCAAAAACGTACTAGCTAACACCTCTCAGGGGTACTAAGTAAAAATGTTCAAAATCCCCCAAAAACCTTATACTAACTAAAATTTGGACCTTTATATCTAACCCCTATCTTACTCTAAAGTTGCACCCTAACCCTAAATTTTAGCCAAAAACTTATTAACACCATAAACACCATAGGTGCATTTTATATTATTTGTTTAAATATATAGAAGTAATTGGCTTAAGTCAACTGAGCTGGCTTGAGCTGGTCCAGGGCACAAAATTTCAGCATGTTGTAATCTGTTTTTTTTTTAGTAAACGAAGTTTAGAAACTCTTGCAATATATTTATATTATAAAATTTCCGGCCGCTTTTTAAAACTACGCCGGAAATCAACTTAATTAAACGGAACCTCCGGCATTCTGCAATAGAATTTTGTGCTCTGGTTGGGTCAGCTCAAAAATCATGGTCAAGTTGGCTTACCTGTAAGCCAATCTAATCCCTAAATTACGTAAAAAATTACAAGATCAATTCATCACAACCACTTTATTGTTAGCAGCCTTGCATGATAACTAATTTGTATGAAACAAAGTGCAAATATACGGTAATAAAATAAAAGAAATAAAATAAAAATATAAATAAAATAATAGGAAAGAAGAGAACAAAATTTTATGCCACTCGCCACGATCCCAACAGCATATATTAAAAAAGTGTAAAAATCAAATAAAAGTAAATATCTTTATAAAATATTGACTCTAATAATCAACCAAATAAGAAATTCAATTGAGTTTTAATTTAAATCGGTTATTCTTTTAATAATCCATCTATCTATATTATAAAAAATTTAGCCGTCTCGAATCACGTGACTCATCGTATCACACTACCCGTTGTTCAACGAGTCGAAACATCTGGTACATTAAAAAAAAAGAGCAAATAATGTAAGAGATCGTCTTTAATGCTAATGAACTACATGTAATACTTACTATTCGGAATAGTAAGATTTAATCACAGTACTATTGATAAGTTTAATGATTAATGTTGTATTAATGTTTTTGCTGGTATATTTCGAACTTGGATGCTTTGAGATAACTGGCGATCTTTTAGGCATTTCATCAGCAGCTAAGAATTGTTTTTTAATTTCATTTTTATTACTTGGATCCACTATCATGTCATACCATTCATCAAGTTTTTTATAAATATTTTCAATAGGAGGTCGTTTTTGTGGGTCCGAATCCATGCATTGATTTGCCAATTCAATATAACAATCAGGGGTTCCGCGGGTAAACCCCGGCCGCAATCCATTATAAATTTCAACTGCGAGATCATTACTAAATGGTCTACTATCAAAAGGACTTTCTCCACTTGAAATTTCCGTCATAATAACACCAAAACTATAAATATCAGATGCTGACGTAAACTTTTGTTGGCGGAATAGAATTTCCGGTGCAATATAAGGTAAAACACCATAAACATTACTTCCTAAATTATCCTCATTATTCTTTTTGGATAATCCAAAGTCGGCAACATAAGTCTTCATATTTTTATCGATCTTTTTTTGATTTTGCAAAATATTACCGCTATGAAGGTCTGCATGTGTATATCCTGCGTTATGAATTCGTGCTAAATCAAGCGAAATATGTTTAAGTAGCTGTAATTTTCTTTCCCATGTGAGATCTTGAAAATTGTTTTTTAAAAATTCACGAAGATTTCCGCCATAAGCATATTCGAACACCATAAAATACTCATTAGTCTTCGTATTTTGAGTTAATCCATATATTCTAAGCTCACAACCCCTTAATATACACTTCATATGAATTTTAACTTGCAATTGATATTCAAAATTAGCTAAGTAATATTTATAAATAAATAATATAACAATTTAACTTACTTCTTCTAAAAAACTGAGTGGTTTTTCTTTTGAACCGGACAAGGTTTTTAGTGCAACAGGACTAAATGGTTTACGTGACCCGTCAGTTTTTCGTACTCCCTTTTTCCATGTTGCACTAAATATTGAACCAAATCCACCTTTGGCAATTCTTTCAACATTTTCAAGCTCATCATACGAAATCCATTCAATTATATTCTCATATCTAACACCCTTAAATTGAAATTCTTTAATGCAATCATCAATATCTTTATTATCACTTGTCCAACTACGAGCTGTTTCATCTGGATCACAAGTGATACACCATGCTGGAGAAGTTTTATCATTTTTACAATGTTTGCATTTTCCATATTTAGAATCTCTATAAATATGAAAAATAGTTTGATTTATTATCAATTCCTATATATATTATTCAATTTAAAAATTAAACACATCGGTTTACCGTCTAAATTGATATAAATAAGTAATTTGAGCAATATTGTCAAAGATAGAATTTAAATAGATTCATAAATGAAATCTATACTCACTTGCTAAATTGACGTGAATAAGGCAAAACTTTGTAACATAAATTCAACGTTTAAATTAATTTATAAATCATATCTAAACTTACCAACTAAATTAATATGAATAAAATAGTTAGCAATTGAAAAGTAAATAGGCTAATAAATATGATAACTTATACTAAAATTGGCTAATGCTGAAGCTTTAAAATCTCTAGTTGGATATATAAAATTTACTTAAACCTATTTATATTTTTTTATTAATAAACCTAATATTAAATTCTAACATAACAATAAAAAGACTAATAAATTCATTTGAAACATTTAAATTTTATATTATCAAAAGAGGCCAAAATTTTAGTATCAGCCAATTTTAATTTCAATAGTATCAATACTTACAGTCTAAATTAGTATATATAAAATGATTAAGTAATATTATAAAAGATGTATTTTTTCAAAATTGATTGCATTTTTATAATAAATTCACAGTTATATATACTCACCGACTAAATTAACAAATAAAAAGACTTATAAATATTTATGTTTAATAGATTACAAATGATTTCTATACAATACTTACTAACTAATTTTACGCAAATAAAATAATGTAAGTTGATATTGCAAAAAAGTAACACTAATACACACCAGTAGTGTTTAACACCATATACCAGTATTTCAAAGTTCTTATACATGGTCCCTTTTTTAAGCGACCTTACATATAGAGCTCATTAGGGATGTAAACAGTTCGGTTCGGTCTGACTCGGTCTATTTTCAGTTCAGTTCGGTCCAGTATTTTTTGGTTTAATTACGGTTCAGCTCTAAGATCGTTTAAAGAGCCAATAATTTAAACTTATAGCCTAAATTCATAATAGAAAATCGATCTAAAACCGGTCTTTAAAATAAGAAGCTGTTTGTGGTCCAGACCTTCAGGTTACAGGCTAAAATCCTAACAAACAAAATCTCGACAGGGTCATAATTCCGACAAGCCTAGCCCGCATTAACCATAGTTCTGGTCAATTTTTGTTGGGATGTTGTATGTCAGGATTCTGTATGTAGGATTCTGTATATCAGGGTTTTAGCCTATAACCGCCTGAACTCATAACCTTCAGTTCGAATTTATAATAAAAGACCAGTTTTGAACTGGTCTTTATAATATACATAAGAACTAATCTAGAGCCGATCTAAATAACTAAATAGTTTTGTGGCCAGTCTTAAGACTGGTTTAAGATATCACAGTCTGGACTATTTTAAGACTGAGACTAGACCGAATAAGATCAACTTCTTATAGGTTCAGATTGGACCTATGACGGACCGCAGTTTATTGGACCAAGACCGGACCAGATAACATCCCTAGAGCTCATGATGATTATTTATACAAAATATACATATTGGCCAAATGATCATCGCGATCTCTATATATAAGGTCACTTTAAAAAGGAACCATGTATAGGAACCTTTGAAGCACCCGATATAATTTACTATTAAAATTTAGGGTTATATGTTATTATAGGTTAAGATAAAGGTTAGTATTAGAGGTCAAAGTTTAGATACAGTAAATATAAGGCTCTTGAGAGTTCTGAACATTTACTTAAGAAACAAAGCATTAATTGCTTAACTTAGCCAGTATTTTGAGATATACGTAGCAACTGATGTTAAACATCACTGGTGTGCTTTAGTAAACTCGTTTCAAAATATATTCATAAATACTGTAGGTTTAAATTGATTTATACTTACCCACTAAATTAACAAAATTATTTAAGCAATACGGCAAAATATTATATAGTTATTGCATGAGAAGTATGCAGTAATGGTTTTGTTCAATGATTTACTATCTCAGTTTATGAAATAAGATCAATAATTTTATTATATAAAAAGTACCATAAAATAATTGATTTATTTTATAGGCTGATCATAGTAAAAGCATTGAATATAAGCCATTGTTAATTTAAATCACATTTTTATAATATAATTGTATCTATACTTACTCGCTAAATAGTATTATAGAAAATAAATTAATAAACATAATTTGCTAAGTTTAGATAGAATCTATAAATAATAACTAAAATATACTTACTAACTTAATTAACATAAATAAATTAAAAGACAAATTCTTATTGTTTCGAATTAAGATTGATAAATTTTCAATGATATATATACTTACTAACTAATTAAATGTGAAATTATTTCAGCAATATATATTGTTAAAATGCCAATTATTATGAATTTGAATTTTAGAATTCCAAATATATCAATATATACTCACGAACTAAATTAATAAATGGAAATATTTGTATAGTATTGTAAACTGTTAATGCCTATGAACATTGCTTTAGAATTTATATAAATAATTCTACCTACCAACTAAATTTATTTGAATAAAGTAATCTGAGTGTTATTATAATGGCAAATTCATATGGAATTAAATTCATAGTTATATATACACGCACCGACTAAATTGAAATCAAAGAAATAATGTTGCAGAAAATAAACCCTCATTATGTATAAATTGAATTGTAGAATTTATATTATATGAATAAAAAAATTACTTTACTCACAGGCTAATAACAAAATGTTATGAAAAAATTGTAAGAGACAAGTCTAACGAATTTGATTCTGTGCTTATCTATAAAAAACGGATTTATAAATGATATCTATACGCACAGCCTAGATTGATCAGAATGAAATGATAATAATATTAAAAATAACAAAGTCTTTAGAAATTTAAATGCTGCGTTTAAAAGGTTTATGAATAATATATGCACTCACCCACTAAATTTTCATTAATTAATAAAATAATTTAACATTGTAAAAAGTAAATATAGTCAGAATACGAGTTTATATAATAAATTTATTAATAATATCAATACTCACAGACTAAAATTTGCAGAATATAAAGTAAATGATAATGTAAAAAGAAATTCTAATGAACTTGAATCACCGAGTTAAATAGTTTATAAATTAGTGCACTACTGTCCACAAACGCTGCTCACATCATAAATTATCACATAGTTCGGACTTTATTATCAGTCCCACACGAGAAGACTGAACGCTTGCTAATTAAAACTATCTCTTACATGTAAGATGTTTGCAGGCAAATTCTCCTGAACGCAAATATCTGATCATCTTAAATAAAAATCACATACAGAAAAGATCATAGGCAGAGATGCTCATTGGAAGGTTCTAGTGACAATTACTGGAACTGGAAGGCATGAAGCAAATGGAATACTTTTAGATGGTGCAGGAAGTTCTAGTTATTTTTGTACACTTGAAGTTTCTAGTGACTTTTTTTAATAGTCAGTGACGGTAAATGACCTGAAATGACCTAAATGACCCAAATGACAAATGACCACTGGATCATCTCAAGGCCAAAATGACTTAGAAGGTCATTTTAGCGTATGCTAATTAATATTCAGTATCTTTTAACCGATCAAACATGTCATCAGATAATAATAAAATATACAGTATAATCAAATGATTGCAGCTACATATGAAGTCAAAATTTTACTAAGTCAATCGATATTTTGCCTTAAGTTGTTCTGGATAACAAAATATATATTATATTCTGAGTGCTTCATAATTTGAACAATTTTTATTAATCCACATTCGCACTTTATGTTATAAAAGTGTAAAATGCGAAAGTGGATTATTAATAATAAAAGGTTATTCAAATCATATAAACTTTCAGGAAATATATGTAATTTATTATCCCGAAAAACTTTGAGTAAAATTTGATTTTTATATATAGCTACGGCTGTCGATTAGGAAAATAATAACCGATAATTTTTTTTGCATTAGCCATTGACTAGTACTGTAAAATTATTTTAAGCGTAAATTGCCTAATGACCCTAATGACCTTGATCATTATTTGATGACTCGGGGTCATTAAATTTTGGCCAAATGACCAGGTCATTTACCATCACTAATGACTTCCAATGACTAGATTGACATTTTTTTTAACATAAAATTGAAAATATCTCTGAATCCTATGATCCAATGGATAATTTTGTACTATTAGATTCGTCTCGGTGAGGCGATTCGAATGGTATGCGCCAAAATAATCCAAATAGGATCATAGGATCCAGAGATATCTTCAAGTTTAGTTACTAATGTAGTATATAGAAAGTTTTTTTTACAATTAGTTGGTTTGTAAATATAAAAATATTCCAATGAGAAAGCTTAGTCAGACTTGCTCATTGGAAGCACTGGTTGGCTGGAATAATTTGGAAATCTAGTGATTTTCTAGTCTTCCAGTGAACACACTAGTCATAAGCAACTGTAACTATTTATCTATAATATATGTTATAACTTTTTGAATCCGGGTGACCACCTCTGAACTTTAAACTGCATTGAACATATTGGCGAAATTGTGACCTTTCATCATATAATTTAGGACCCAAAGAGTAAACGAGAATTCTAAAATTAGACAGATTAGATGAGTGCTACCAAAGGCAAACATGTAAGCGCATACTTAAATTCTCACTATACTTGTTAATTCGAAAAATAATAATCAGAAACCAAAAAGAGTTTCGGATTCGGTTTTCCGAAATCGAAACTATATTTCAAAATCTAAATCTTGAATCCTTTTGGAAGATTTTGGGTCACAGGTATTATTCTCACTGTACCGACTTAAGCTCAGATAATTGTGATAAGTATTACATAATTGAGGCAAATTATGATCAATGTTTTAATCATAAATATAAGAATTGAATTTGCTGCAATGTACATATGTCACCGAAACGACCAAAACACTGATCTTGTGGTGTCTAAATTACGTATATCACAATTTTAAGGGAAGTCCAGTACTGTAAGTGAAATTTTTTTAGGTATAGAGAAAATTTAAATTTGACTACAGGTTTTTTCTTTGATGCACTCATTTGCAGAAAGCTTAATGGGTGATTATTTGGTTTACTTATAATACCGTATATTCTAATATTACGATTTGTGAGATATAAAAGTGTGTGTCTGCTCACAAAGTTGCGGGCAAATTTGCCTGGAAACGGTGTAAGAGATAATATCCAATATTGTTAGTACCTCTTCTCGTGGCCGGTTAATAAAGTCCTGAACCACAAGACAGGCTATGATGCAAAAGTGTTGTCTATGGTGCGGGTAGTACCATAATTATACCATACTCACGGACTAAATAGAATAAATTAGTTTGAGCATAAAGATAAATCCATATGAATTTGAAATTGAATGTATTACTGTCGGCCCTCCCAAAACCGATAATAATAACCTGCCATAAACGATTAAGATTTGATCCACTATGTCGGTTCCATAAGTAATATCCGATAACCTGATACTGTATCCGATAGCCAAGTTTCAGATATGGTTGATTTTAGTCGCATGGGACTCAGCCAATCAAATCAATGATGGGTATATATGTGGCGCAAGCTACAAATCAGATTTCAGTACGTCTTGTCACAAATCGCTTATTTCTCAAAACCTGAATAAAAAAACCTTTAATGCCCTAACTAAAAGTTTTCCTTGAGCAATTTGCTATATATTCGCTAGCATCTAATCCAAATACCAACGCTAACCCTAACATCAATGAATTTTTAGTAACTTTTCGTTATTGCAAATCTGCGCCACAAATCTAGCACACACCAACTCTGCAATTGATTGGCTGATTTCCGACCATTTGATCATGCGATATCCAAAACCGATACAGAACCTGTCCGCCATGCATACCGGTTTTGAGAGGGCCGACAGTATAAATAACGACTATACTCACAGACTAAAATTGACATAATATGATTACGTGTTATTGTAAAAGGTAATTCATTTTGAAATAATATCAATACTCACGAACTAATATGAATATGGTTGAACAGTAGTGTAAGATACAAATTTTTATAAACTTAAATTGCAAAGTTTATATAAATGGATTATTAATAATATTCTTTCTATACTCACTTGCTAAATAAATGATTAGTATGACATAAGAGTAAATCACTATGAACATAGATTGCAGAACTTAAATGGGTTAATGATTTTATACTCACAAACTAAATTTGTATAAATGAAAAGATTTAATGCTAATCCTTGTTAGAGTTTAAATAGATTTGTAAACAAAAATAACTATATACTCACCGGCTAATCGGGCATAAAATAATTAGTATGGCATTGTAAAAGGCAAACCCTTATGAACTTGAATTGCTGAATCTAAATGGATTTAAATGCGATATCTATACTTGCCAACTAGTTAATAAAATTAAATTATTTGTGCGGTATTCTAAATTACGAATATTGATTTTAATTTAAATGAATTTATAAATAATACTTACTCTCTTAAATTAACACAAATGAATAATTTAAATTTAATTTTTAACAAGAAACATAATGATTATTTATACAGTCAGTTCTCATACAAAGGCTTATTAGTAAAATTATTTTAATAAGTTCAATTTAACGATGAACTTATTAATAAAATTAAATTTCAAAATTCAGTAGATATAAAGTTTGATTCATTATGTCGGTTTCATTATATCCACGGCCTGTTTAAGAAAGTTGACTGTATATCAATAAAAAAGATACCTTTCAAGATAATCTTTAGCCTTTTTTTCGTCTTTTGTAACACCAATTCCGAATAGATAGCAAATTCCAGTTTTAAATATTCCCTTGTAATTACTCTCCTCTGCAGATCTTTGATAATAAATGAATGCTTTGGATTCATTCTTTTCAACACCAATTCCTAAATAATAACAACGACCAGTTTGAAACATTCCATCAGAATTCCCCAATTCAGCAGATTTTTTATAAAGAGTGAATGCTTTATACTCGTCCTTTTCAACTTCAATACCCGTCTCATAACGATAGCCCAAGTTGTATATTTGGTTAGTATCTTCCATTTCTACAGATTTTAGATAATAATTTAAAGCTTTTTATATATAATTTTAAAAGGATCTTAGGATTGTTTTGTTTTTTTCTTGGATTAGCAAACATGTAATTACACTAGGCTTATTATATATTAATTTTTAAGGAAAGTTGTATTTATAACACCGTGTTATATAACACTTATGCTATATCTCAGAAACGTACTAAGTAAATGGGTGTAGGTACTCTAAGTAAAAATGTTCAGCGCCTTTGAAAACCTTATAGGAACTGAAATCGGGACCTATTGGAACCTTATATCTAATATATATTGTATAATAAAAAACCCCTAACTCTGATTAAAACTATATAGGTGTTATATAACATGGGTGTTATGAATATAATATTTCAATTTTTAATGTTATGCATGATGATATCTACAATAATTAGGATACATCACGAAATAGCATTGAATATTGAATACATCTAAGACTTACATACGAATATTTTCCATTTTCATTCACGTATATTTCATTTATACATCTTTAGTAATATTATAATATACCTTATATTGTATCATATCTTGCATAAAATTTGCTATCTTGCATGATGCCAGGAAATAGTGCACGCAGCAAATGTGGCATGAAACTTAGATTTGTAAAAAGATATATTTAGATATAATTTTTTTTTTTATAATGAGGACGATTAATATAATCTTAGATAGCAACTTCAAGCACTACAAAGAGACGTACTTAGAATGCATGCACAGTCAGACCTCTCTAAATGCATAGTCGAGGGCGGCCAAAAAAATCTTGCATTTAGAGAGGCTTGACTGTGCATGCATTTAGGGAGGTAAAAATCTATAAGGGTTATATGAGTTGGGGCCATGCATTTAGAGAGGTCTTTCATAGACTATGCAATTAGGGAATATACATTTAGGGAGATCTGACTGTAATTGCTTTTACGTAAAATCCAAGACATTATTGCCACTGCATATAGTACCCGGGTCTTATTCAAGAACTTTATTCTTTAAATTAGACATAGTAGTGCCCGTGTACTGTGTGAAAAATGGCTACTATTACCGTAACTTATAGACAAAAGGCTAGAACGCTAATATATTACAGTAGGATTTTATCCAATACAACAATATAGACATTGATCTGAATATTATTCCAGAACCGATTTCTATTTTAAAAAGTGTTTTTATTATCTTAAAAAACAATCAATTTTAAAAAACTTTTAGAATATTCTTGCACAAGTTATTCTATGAATTTGTACGTATATGGTGATAGAATTTAAAAATGGAAGTTATGACAATGATTACGTACTACGTAACCATTTCATTGTTAAAATTTCCATTTTTGAATCTACCACCATCTATAGTCTGGGAATCCCTCAGGATCAAATGGTGGTTGTGCACCAAATAAAAACACAGACATTGGCGCAAATTTTGCCACATAGAATTAAAAAAAATTTTTCAA